ATGTACCATACACAGATTTTATATCCAGTTATAAACACATAACACATACACACGCCACACACATGCACATAGGCATAAATAAACACACACATACACATACACACACCACACACATACACAAGGCATAAATAGACACATACGCAGACATAAATACATACACACATACACACACACACCACACACATGCACATAGGCATAAATAGACACACACATACACACACACACCACACACATACACAAGGCATAAATAGACACATACACAGACATAAACAAACACAAGCACACATACACACGCACCTCAATAGACACACATCACACACACAGACATAAGCAAATGCAAACACACATACACATAGACACGCAAAGACACGCACACCACACACAGACACAAACAGACACAGACCCACATATACATAGACATTCAAAGACACACATATCACAGACACACATACACATACACACACACAGACATACACAAATGGTGATACTCATTCACTGTCTTGTCTTTAAATTTTTTTGTGTGTTTTTATGTGTGTGTGTGTGTGTGTGTGTGTGTGTGTGTGTGTATGTAAGCACATGGAAAGGCCTTCAGAAGCCAGAAAAGATCACAGAATCCCCCAGGGATGTCATCAAAAGGGGTGAGCCATTTGACATAGGTGTTGAGAACCAAACTCAGGTTCTCTGCAAGAACAGCATCTTTCTTAATAGCTGAGCCCTCTCTCCAGCTCCATTCTTTGTCTTTTTATTTTACTGTGGTCTAGAGGCCTTCTACCCTTGGTTAGTACAGAGTGGGGTCACTGTTTTTGTGTGTTTGCAGCAGTGTTCCCTCATTTGCTTTACCTACCATCTTGATAGCTATTTTGATAATTTTTTTTTTACCATTTTGCTCTCGCTAAGAATGTGGCAATTAATATTCTGTTTATGTGATTTTTATAATTAAGAGAATGTGCTTGAAGGACGAATAATGATTTAAACTACTCGATCAGACGGGAGGAGCGTGTGTGCTTTGTGTTCAAATTACATTGCCAAATTGCTCTCCATACAGATCATAATTACGTTTCTACCATCCTTAGAGGGCTTGTTTCCTTATATTCTTGATTACACAATATATCAAACCGAAAGATCGCTAGTCTGAAACATCACCTTAACATTTTCATTGCCTTCTTTTATAAGCAAGAAGTTGTATCTTTGCAGAAGTATTAAATATCCTGTGTATTTCCAATTCAGTAACCTGTTTAGGGTCTTTACCTGTTTTAAAAATTGAATTGCTAATTGGGTGTGGTGTGATGCAGGCCTTTAATTCCAGCACTAAGGAGGCAGAGGGCAGATTGCTGTGAGTTCAAGGCCAGCTTGGTCTACAGTGTGAGTTCCAGGACAGTCAGGGCTACACAGAGAAACCTTGTCTTTAAAAACAAGCAAACAAAAAAATAATAAAAATTGGATTACTATTCTTTTTCTTATTGGTTTGTTCAAGCTCTTTCTATATTAAATATGCTATTTTTTCCCTTGAGTTATAATCTTAAGCATATACCAGTTTGTAGTTTGTTTTGTTTAGATTTTTTTCACACAGAAACTGTTTTTAATCTCTTATGATTTAAAGATTTTCCCATTATACAAAAGAAAGCTGAGTTTTTGAAAACAGATTTTTTAAATTTCCATATTTTTATCTACTTTGTTTATAAAAATTTTAACGTATTTGAGCTTTATTCTGGTGGAAGGTTAGGTAAAACATCAGTCTTGGTGATCTCTCCCCAGTTGCCTCAGTACGAAATTGAACAACACATCTTTTGATGCATGCTTTGATAACTAGGCATTATATATTCAATTACCTGGTGAATTTAGGTTTGATTCTGGGCACTGTAATTTTCAGACATCAGCCAGGTTTCATTAGTGTCTCCATCCAAGCCCCTTTTCTCTTCCGGGATTGATTCAGGCTGCCATGTCACTATTGGCACTATTCCCCTGTCATTAGCTCACGCAGAGGCAGCTTTTGGCAGCCCCTGGGTTAACTGAACATGTCTGCATCCACACGGCCAGAAGTATCCATGACTACTGCAAAATCCCTTCATCAGATTGCAGAGGATCAGTGTCAGTACCTGTGCCCTCTTGTGTTTGTACTGTCCCATTAACTTACCCTAAATGATGTGCGTGCGTGCGTGCGTGCGCGTGCGTGTGTGCGTGCGTGCGTGTGTGTGTGTGTGTGTGTGTGCGTGTGTGTATGTGATCAACGTGCTTTATCTGCCTTTGAGATGAATGTCTTTCAAAGGATGTTGCTGCGGTTCTTATCATCACGGGACGAAGCCATGACCTAAAAGCGTGTGTGTGTACCGTGGTTTAGGCAGGACACACTTTTAAACCCAGCACTCCCGAAGCGGGAAGATCTCTGTGAGCTTGAGTCTCACGTGCTCTTCATTGGGAGTGCCAGGCCAGAGAGGGCGATTTAGGGATACCCGATCTCGAAAACTTTAAAAACGAAATTGCTCTTTTCTGTGGCGGGGCGATGATATCGAGACAGATTTTTATGTAGCCCAGACTGGATTTAAACTCCCTGCGTAGCTGAAGATGGCCTTCACCTCCTGATCTTCCTGCCTTCCAAGCGACAGGGTTCCGGGGTTCTTTTTCATCCTGTTTACCTTGGCCTACTTTGCCCAAATAAGTAGTTACAATTTGGCTGCTGGTTAAAGGAATGGGGTTCTATTCCTAGCTCAGAAGCCAGTTATGCAAACCAGGACAGGTTCTTGAACATGGTTGTCCTTGGTTTCATCCCCTGCAGAATGGAGATGATTTTTATGCTGCCCAGAGAACAATAAAAATTTCTAATCAAGGCTTTCACATACATACTGGCCATCCCCATGGCTCCCCTTCTCAGGTAAGCTTCCTGCTGACATCACTTAGAATACCGCCCGCAGGATGGCTCTGCTGGTATTGGGTTGTGAGAGGACAGAGTTAGGAAGGATTCTGGGTGGCACTGAGGAAGGGACCCGGTCAGTCGTCTTCATCCACTGAGACCACGAACCCCAATATGGACAAGTTCAACAGAACCACCATCTATGGCTGCCCATGCATGCTTCAGCATTGCCAGGGCATGCATTTCAATTTTTTCAAATTTCTGGGCGGCAATGGCTCCAGTCAAACACGGAGCCCTGGCTCCATACCCTGGCTTCTCTGCCTGCGCAGTGCTATTTCTAACTTGTTTCTATCTATTATTTCTATCTGTGGACGGTTTCTCAGATGTGCCGGAGGGAGGACAGCAAAGTTACCTACTTTCTCTCAGAGGGCTCTGTGCCTGGCTGCAGCTGTTGTCCACCTAGCAGGTGGGCTTTGCCAAAAGACTGGGTGGAGCTCACGAGCTTCGTCCTGGGCGAATTCTCTCATCTATTCCATGCCTGGAGGCACGTGCATGTGTGTTGGAGGAAGTATTTACAGAGAATGTCCATGAACAGTAACTGGGTTTTTCTGGATACCACTTCTAGATTCTGTTGCCAAGGGGAAACCTTTTAGTCTACCTGGGGACATTTGGCAAGGGCAGTAGGAGGGGTTCCTAAGGTGAAGTCTTTGGGCTGTTCTAGACAAAGGTGTTTCTGTGAGATTTACTGTAATTAACATTCTTTAGTCAATACCATTATCTTTACAAAACTTGATACATTTTACAATATGTAAATACTTGTTTCTGGCTTTACACAGAGAAACATTCCATCTCAACTCACGTATTTCTTTACCTGGGGGCGATACTGACGACAACTTTTATAATCTTTTTCCTATCACAGTTATAAAACCCTATACTATATATCTCTATAGAAAGATATGCAGATTTTTCTTTTTTAAAAAAAATTCCTCTATTTCTATATTATGTGTTTTTTTTTTTGTTACAGTTTTGTGCCTTGTGCTCACAGAGACCAGAGAAGGTATTAGATCTACTTGAACTACAGTTACAGAAGGTTGTGAGCCATGGTATCAGTACTGGGGATTGATTCTGAGTCCTCTACAAGAGCAGCCACTGTTCTTAAACACTGAGGAAACTGTCCAGCCCCCAATTCCCTCTTCTCTTCTCTTCTCTTCTCTTCTCTTCTCTTCTCTTCTCTTCTCTTCCCTCCCTCCCTGCCTTCCTCCCTCCTTCCCTCCCTCAGTCTCTCCCTTCTTCCTCCCCTCCCTCCCTCCTTTCCTCCCTCCCTCTTCCCCTCCCTCCCTCCTTTCCTCCCTCTCTTCCTGTCTATCTTTTTCTTTGTGTGTGTATGGGTGTTTGCCTGCATGTCTGTCTGTCTGTGCATTACACACATGCTTGGTGCCCATGAAGGCCAAAAGAGGGTGTCACATTTTCTGGAACAGGAGTTGCAGGTGGCTGTGAGCTGCCTTGTAGGTGCTGGGAACTGAACTCAGGTCCTCTTTAAGAGCAGTAAGTGTTTTTAGTAGCACAGCCATGTTTCCAGCCCCATATAGACATTTTTCTTAAAGCTGTTATGTTCTTTCAAGTCACAAGTAGAAAATTCCCAGCGAGAAAAACTGCACTGAGTGCTCGAAAGTTTGTTTTCCCTGATGATGATTCTCTTAATGGTGTGCGAAAACATCTGGGGGAAACATGCAGCCTCACAAGCCTGTTCATCAGTAAAACCATCCCTAAGTTCAGGCTTGCGTCATCTCTGTGCTACCACATTCTTCAAGATGCAGGCACTATGGTGTTCCAGGGTCAGCCGCACTGGTGTTGAAGGCTCAGCTGTCAGTACATGCCTTCTTACACGACGGTGGGATGATTTCTTTCCTTTGATGTGACCCATTGATATGATGCCCTTTTACCTTTTTAATTAATCTATTCATTGACAGACTCATACACATATAAGATACATTATTTAACATCTTCACCGCTTCTCTACAAAGCCAGTATGTGGCTCTTTACATCTTCCAATGTGAATATAAATTACCTTTCCAGTATTATGGAGGAGAAAGGAGGCTAATACACACATTTCCTGCGACGCTTTCTCTTCTTCTTTCCCCTCCCCCCCCAGGAAAACCAGTTCAGCTATAAAGAGAACCACTCAGTACAGCGGAGCAAGATCAGGCAATGTTTCCCGGAGAAGAGCTGTTTACCATCAAAGAGACTGCTTCCAACAGACACGAGATATTATATACAAAGATGGAGGTAAATGCGCCATGGTTTTCAAGAGCAATTTACTCTGCTTAAAGAAAGGAGCTAGGCTGTCTGCAATTCTCACTGATCTTGATCTTGTTTCTTTTTTTGTTAAAAACTAAAATAGCTAACTAAGCAAATGTAATTAAAAAATCAGCTGTCCGAAGACCCTTCCCCTGCAGGTGCCCGATGCTCCTGTGTTATCAGTACCTGCCTGTCACACAGGAATGAATCGTTCTGTGTGACAAATGCCAGCCAGCCTGGCAACACTACACAAATGGAGATTTACTAGACTTTCATTTTTTTTTAAAGTGCTTTCCTCCTCTTGGTTTTTAAAAGCAAGAATTTTACTTGGAGTTATATATTTCCCGGGTTAATTCATATTTTATAAACACGTGGAATTATTAATTCATTCTATCTGTAGCATGTCTGGACCCTGGAGCTTGTAGCGGAGCTGTTATCTGTTGCAGGGATGCAAACACGCTCTTTGATGTGTTACTCTTAGGGACTTGGGGGATAAAGATGAAACACTCATTTGGCCAGCCTCTGCAGATGGGCTGAAAATGCACTGGCAGTGTCTGCGACTGTGCACCACACCCCTCCTCCGTATCATGGCACTGGTGACCGAAACATCAGAGCGGCATCCTCAGTCCTTCCCACCATAGCCCCCCTAGGCCAAGGCATGGGAATCCCAGCCCACAGATGTCCCTTCCGGCACGTGGCTGGCTCAGCAGGTTACCTCCGATGGTGCAGCATGGTATTACACTTCCCAGAAAAGTAGTCAAAGCGAGTGACCACAGTACTTACACGGTGCCATCCTCTGCCAGGTGCCCTTCCAGAGCTTTCTTTACATTAGCCCCGTGGGCATGCACAGCATCCTGTCACGTGGGTTTTTCCAGCAAGTCTGATTTGTAGATGAGCAACTGGAGGCACGTGGTTCTTACCTGTGGCTTTCTTCCCCTCTGGCCCCAAAGTCACATTATTTTAGTAAATGAGGAAGATTCTTGCTATTGAGATGTAGTGTTTGAATTTTGTCGCTGTGTTAATCAGCTTCCTCTTACAATGACAATGCTTAGGATAATTCACATAGGTGTTATTTTAGCTTACAGATTGGGAAGTTTTACATTTCGTGACCATTCGACCCTGTTACTGTGGTTTTAAGGAGAGGCCACACATCATGGTGGGAGTGTGTGACTATTACTTAATTAGCCAGGAAGCAAAAATTGAAGGAGGTGGGGGCAAGGTTTGGAATTCCCATTTCAGGCTCTGCTTACAAAAACTGTACACCCTCCATAAGCTCCCCTTGCCTCCCAACAGCAACACCGTGGAGTCCACATGGACCTCTGGGGGACATTTATCTCTTTTTCTTCTTCTAATTCTTCTTCTTTCTCCTCCTCTTCTTCTTCTTCCTCCTCTTCCTCCTCCTCTTCTTCTTTTCTATATTACTTCTTTTGAGACTTTATCTTTTGGTTTAATAACTGTTCTTTCAGCCAGAAGGAATGTTTTAAGAGATCCTATGAGAGATGCACTGTGGTATCTGCTAAGGATACCATCATGCCCTAAACAGACATGACGGAGACCACACAGTGCTTACACTCTATAGGAAGGACAGATGCTGAGCCAATCCTTACAGTGCACTCAGTGGCGGGTGCTATGGGAAAGCAAAGCAAGAAGATCCGATCTGGGAGGCAGGGAGAGGTCAAGGTCACTTAGCAGGAAGAGTGGGAACTAATCACGAAAAGCTAAGAATATTGCCCTGGGAACCAAAGAAGGAGAACCCGCTGCTGCCAGAGAGGAGGAGGAAGCTTGAGTCTGGAGTGTGGTGCTGTGGGAGAGGGTGGGAAAGAGGCTTCGGGGACTATGCCTTAAAGGGAATCTTTAGCAGGTAATCAGAGGAGTATTGTACCTAATACACACCTTCCAGAAGCTTACCCCTACCCTTACTCTGGAAAAATGTCCTGAAGGGAAGACAGGAGGGTCTGGGAAGACCAGTTATTTGGGTTCCATCAGTGACTGGAGATGTTTAATTTGTTACTCAGCGTGAGGATAACTGTTGGTTTGAATAGGAATGGCCCCCACAGACTCATGAGTTTGAATGCTTGGCCCATAGGGAGTGGCACTATTAGGAGGTGTGGCCTTGGAGGAAGTCACTATGTGATGGGGGTAGGGGGAATTTTGAGCCCTCATATGCTCAAACTATGCCCAGTGTGGGTCACAGGTCTCTTCTGCTGCCTATGGATCAAGATGTAGAACTCTCAGCTCCTTCTCCAGCACCACATCTGCCTGCATGCCCTCATACTCCCTGCCATGATGATAATGGACTAAGCCTTTGAAACTGTAAGCCAGTCCCAATTAAATGTTTTCCTTTATAAGAGATGCTGTGCTCATGGTGTCTCTTCACAGCAATAGTGACCCTAAGACAAATACCAAAAGTGTTCTTCCCAGTCAGCATAGGTCAAAGGTCAACAGGAAACACAGTACTGTGTTCTTTAAAACAAGAGAGAGTAAGAAAGTGTGGGATCTGTATGGCCAGGTCAGACAGATGAGGATCCAGCAATCTGTGTGTTCAATTGGGGAGCGCTGGGGAGACTAGCAGTCAGCATTAAAGTCTTTGCATGTTTGCCCCTTGTCGGTTCATTTAATCTTCATGTTAATCCAACATTGGCCCTCTAATTTTCATCCAGCTGCTAATAATGATAGCTATTATTTCTTAAATATTCAACAACCATTGTCCCAGGCCTCAGTACTGATTATCTTTTATGCCTCATCATTGACTCTGGTAAAAAGGATAGGGAGAGTGAGGGCGGAGCAACAGGCCCAAGGTCTGTGCTTGCCAAGTCAGTGCCATAGTCCACAGCCTGGGATACATCAAGCTGTGTCTCAGCAAACAGAAAAACAAAACAAAACAAAACAAAACAAAAGAGGTTTTGTAGCAGGCAAATGAACCAGTCAGTGAGAGAACTGTGTGTTTGTACCCAGAGATGTCAGAACTCACCTGCAGGAACCAACTATTGGGGTACACTGGAGCTTAAAGTTTCTCCTGGCCAGGAGTTCAGTGGTCACTAATCAGCAATCTATAATAAACAAGGTGACTTGAAACAGAGGTGCATGGAAAACTGTGCCTTGATGGATTGGTGGTACTGCTGTCACCAGAAGCTTGGAGGAACTCTTTTTTAAAATGGTTTATTCTTATTTTATGTGCATTGGTGTTTTGCTTGCATGTGTGTCTGTGTGAGGGTGTTGGGAGTTACAGACAGTTGTGAACTGCCATGCAGGTGCTGGGATTTAAACCTGGGTCCTCTGGAAGAGCAGTCAGTGCTCTTAATCACTGAACCACCTCTCCAGCCCCTAGCTTGGAGGAACATAACCTATGGTTCTCTTCAAAGCAGCAGCTTGGTGCTTCCATAGCTACTGTGACCACGAATCAGATGCATTTTTTGACACCACCATACATGTATATAATGTACCTTGATCTTACGCACCTCAAACTTTTGTTCCAACATCCACACGACCTTCCTCTAACAAGTCCCCTTCCCACATTCATAGCCCCTCTCTCATTTTATTTTATTTTATTTTATTTGTTATAGCTCACTGTATCCATTGAGTGCTGCCTTCTAGAACATCCAAAGGTCTTGTGTAGATAACCAGAGCTGTAGTGGATTCATGAGTACGATGACCACACGTCACTTATCCTTGGTCCTGGCTTATTTTTCTTCCTTTTTAAATCTTATTTTTTGCACATGGATGTTTTGCGTGCATATATGTCTGTGTACCACATGCATGCCTGGTGCTCACTGAAGGTAGAAGAAGGCACCAAATCCCCTGGAACTGGAGTTACAGATGGGTTGCCCTGTGGGTGCTGGGAATGGAACTCAGACCCTCTGGATAGGAGCTAGTGTTCCTACCTATGGGTTATCTCTTCATCCCTGAAGCCTTATAGTCTTTCTGGCTTCTTCATCCACGATGTTCTTTGAGCCGTGTGTGTGTGTGTGTGTGTGCGTGTGTGTGTGTTGTTTAGATTTCCTATTAAAGCCTGAACACTTAATGATCAAGGAATCTCACGCACTTTCTTAATGAATAGTTAGAAGGTTTTTGGTTTACTTTCTATTTCTAAAATGATTTTTAAGTCATATTTATTTATGTGCTGGGGAATGGGGTGTCTTCATTAGGGTGTCTATTGCTGTGATAAACTCAGTGACCAAAAAATCAACTTGGCGAAGAAAGGGCTTATTTCATCTTACACTTCCAGGTATCAGTCCAACACTGAGGGAAGTCAGGACAAGAAGTCAGGTAGGGCAGAAACCTGGAGACAGGAACGGAAGCAGAGGCCGTGGAGGATTGCTGCTAACTAGCTTGATCCTCACAGTTTGCTCAGCTTTCTTTCCTTTTTTGTATTGTTTTGATTGAGCTATATATTTTTCTCTTCTCCCCTCCCCTTCTACCCTCTCCCATAGTCCCCATGTTCCCAATTTACTCAGGAGATCATGTATTTTTATACTTCCCATGTAGATTAGATCCATGTATGTCTCTCTTAGGGTCCTCATTATTGTCTCGGTTCTCTGGGATTGCGAATTGTAGGCTGTTGTTTTATTTTATTTTATTTTTGCTTTATGTCTAAAAGCCACTTATGAGTAAGTGCATATGATATTTGCCCTTATGGGTATGGGTGGTTACCTCACTCAATATGATATTTTCTCGATCCATCCATTTGTCTGCAAATTTCAAGATATTATTATTTTTTTCTGCTGTGTAGTACTACAATACATATGTACCACATTTTCCTTATCCATTCTTCAGTCGAGGGGCATTTAGGTTGTTTCCAGGTTCTGACTGTGACAAACAATGCTGCTGTGAACATAGTTGAGCACATGTCCTTGTGGTATGATTGAGCATTCTTTGGGTATATACCCCAAAGTGGTATTGTTAGGTCTTGAGGTAGGCTGTTTCCTAATTTTCTGAGAAATTGCCATACTGAAATCCAAAGAGGTTGTACCAGTTTGCAATGCCATCAGCAATGCAGGAGTGTTCCCTTTACCCCACAACCTCTCCAGCATAAGTTGTCATCAGTATTTTTGATCTTGGTCATTCTTCCAGATGTAAGATGGAATCATATAGTTGTTTTGTTTTACAATTCTCTGATGACTAAAGATGTTGAACCTTTCTGTAAGTGTCTTTTAGCCATTTTAGATTCCTCTGTTGAGAGTTCTCTGTTTAGGTATATACCCCATTTTTTAAAATTGGACTATTTGTTCTTTTGATGTCTAGTTTCTTGAGTTCATTATATATTTTGGAGATCAGCCTTCTGTCCGATGTGGGGTTGGTGAAAATTTTTTCCCATTCTGTAGGTTCCCATTTTGTCTTGTTGACTATGTCCTTTGCTCTACAGAAGCTTTTCAGTTTCAGGAGGTCCCATCTATTAATTGTTTCTTTCAGTGTCTGTGCTGCTAAGATTATATTTAGGAAGTGGTCTCCTATGCCAATGCATTGAAGTGTACTTCCCACTTTCTCTTCTATGAGGTTCAGTGTGGTTGGCTTTATGTTGAGGTCTTTGATCCATTTGGACTTGAGTTTTGTGCATGATGATAGATATGGATCTATTTTCATTCTTCTACATGTTGATATGCAGTTATACCAGCACCATTTGTTGAATATGCTTTCTTTTTTCCATTTTATATTTTTTTGCTTCTTTGTCAAAAATCAGGTGTTTGTCGGTGTGTGAATTGATATCTAGGTCTTTGATTCAGTTCCATTGGTCAACCTGCTTTCTTACAGAACCCAGCATCACCATTCTAGGTCTGACACCACCCAAAATGTGTTAGGCTCTCGGACATCAATTATTAATTAAGAAAATGCATCACGGGCTTGCCCACAGGTGTATCTGGTGGAGGCATTATGTTACTTGAGAGTCCCTCTTCCTAAACGCCTAATGGGTGTCAAGCTGACATAAAACCAACCAGCCCAAGGGGACAGACATGCCTTGGTGTGCATGTGGAGGTCAGAGGACAAGTTGCTGACGTCACTTCTCTCCTTCTACCATGGATGGAGGCCGCCCGTATTCTGGGTGTCAAATCAGGTCATTAGGCATGTGGCCTGCTGAGCCTGGCTACTCTCCATTCTAACTGAATATTTAGCCAAGAGTGTACTCATGCTACCCCTCACTGCCTGCAGAAAGGGTCTTTTGTGTCATATCTGAACCCCAAAGAAGGAGAATGTGAGCATATATGATATCCCTTCATGCCGTCTCCCTCTTCAGGGTCTTTGGACTCTGTAGTTTAGGTAGTAGTAAAAAACTGCTTTGTCTTGTTATAGTCTGGAACTCTTGGGCTGGTGTTGTCTCTGCTTCTGCTTCAAACTCCTGAGTAGCTGGAAGCACAGACTTGAGAAGTTTTATTCTTTGTAAAAAACGATTTATTTTTTATTTATCTGTGTAAATAGTGTGCTTGTGTGGACGTCTGCTACATGTGTGCAGGTACTGGTGAAGGACTGTGGGAGGCATCGGATTCTCTACTGCTGGAGTCACAGACAGTTGTAAGTCTCTGAGTGGGTCCTGGGAACCAAACTGGGGTCCTCTGGGAGAACATGGCGTGCTGTTAACAGCTGAGCCATCATCTCTCCAGCCTCACATTTTATGTAATGCATTCAGTTTCTTAGTTAGGAAAACACTGGTGTGTATGAAGAAGTATGGAGAAAAAATTTTAGGGAAAGAAGATGGCCTGATTGATGGTATTGTAGATGGTGGTAACAGGGAAGCCTTCTCTAAATGGCGGAATGCTTTCCATTAAATTGTGTCGCGGTTCTAGTACCGCAGGCCTTCCGCAGTTTGCAGACCTCGGCGGATTACACCCCCATAACCACACCCTCCAAGTCAGTTTCTTTTCTCCTCCTAAATGAGTTCCTTCAGACAAGAGCATCAGAGAGCTAGATTTAAATCCCCAAATTTAATTCGTGATGTCCAGATTTTTCGACTGTAGCAGGCATGCTATTTTGATCCATGAAAGTGTATTAGGAGAACAAGGATCAAGTGAACATAAAATATCACATTGTCACTGTCTTCCCTCACAGCAAAGACTGAAAAGAGCAGACAACATAAGCCTGGTCTGGAGTTGGTGACCTGAACGAAGAGAGAAAAGTGCACAGGAGGAAAAAAAGGACGCATGTACCATCATCTATGACATATGACATTTTAATGACTAATAAATAAGGATTGTATTTTCATAATAGCTACAAGTCCTTGCTCCAAAAAGCACAAAGTTCCAGAAATGGACCTTCATCTCCACCAGGATGAACGAACCAGTCACGGCAGCATCCAGCACATTGATAGAGCTTCGTGCTGAAGCTCTTGGGGTAGTGGTAATTAAACACAGTTTTTTGGTTACTCCTGTCCTATATCCTGCACTATGTTGATTAACCTGTTTAATGAGTATACAAGAATGGCCAAAGCTGCCCTCACATCAAAGAGCCCCATTGTTGCTGTGTGCTGACCTGAATTTTAATTGCCTACCAGGTTCGTTAATTGCACCAGAGATGTGTGAGAGAATGGAGTCGCTTTTTCAAGCTGCATTCCCAGCTGTGTTCAGTTCAGTTATGGTATCCTGCTGAATAGCTAGACACTGGTTTACACACCCAGGCTCAGAGCACCTCCCCCATCCCCCACCCTGCCCTACCCCCCCAGATTCACAGTTTAGCAGCTACCTTTGATAAGGATGGCAGTGGTGACTGGTTTAATTTACATGATAAAACTTATTCTTATAAGTTATTAAACATCACAAAGGGGCTGGGGTGTGCATAAGGTCTGTAAAGAAGTCAATAGTGAATACATTAGGATCCAAATAGTCTTTGTGATTCCTATAAGGGCTCGGCTGCCCTGAGAATCATTAGAGGCAGCTATGGCTTCCTTATTGAGTACAGACATCAAGGATCAACTGTTAATCCAAGCTACAGGTACCCACAGTAGTAAATAGATAGCTAGTTCTTAAGTGATAATATTGAATTTTGTGTTTGTTTTTTTCAAAGACAGGGTCTCGCTCTGTAACGCAAACTCAGGCAATCTTCCTACCTCAGCCTTCTGGCTGCTGGAATTACAGTGGTGTTACAGCCGTAAACCACCATACCTATGAAAACCAGACCAAATACTCTCCCCTACCCTCTATAAAAACAAAAACAATCCCCCTAACTCAATTTTGTTGACTGCCATCTTTCCAATTTCTCTTTATTTTGGCAAACAATTTACAGAGTTGCATTCAGCTATTCACTTTCTGTGGAGGACTGGTGGGTGTGGCCGACAGTCTCGCCTCTGACCTGAGTGCCCCAGCCAGAAGGATGAAGATGTTCCGAACAAAGATTTGATCGTGGTTTAAACAAACACACAGCATCAACAACTATATATTTCTATTTAAGCTTTAATAAAATAAGTCTCAACTCTGTTTGCAATGTGTGTGTGCATATTTACATACACATAACAAACCCCCGCTGTCGGCTGTCCCTTGCTGTACAGATTATGTCCATTCAAAGTGTGAACGGACATAATCAATGGACATAAGTCAATTGGTCCGTTGAGAGTGGGAGGGGCTTCAGAGGACCAGTCTTCTCACCCCCTCTGGTAGCATCATCTTTGGTCCACACAAAGGTACTTTTTCCGGGATGGTCGGAAAGGCCTGGTGATTGGGAACGGCAGTTGGGAGTCCTTAGGAGTCAGAGGCCAGCGACTGATTTGCATAATTCCAGCACTTGGGATTCTTCAAACTGCTTCCTTTTCTCGACTCTCCGTTGCCTGCCTTGCTCGGTCTCTTGACCGAACACTAGCTTGTACTATGATTTCGGATACTCACTGAATTTCTTGGGCCTTGTTGTCTTTATTGGCAAAATGAAGGTTTGAACGTCACAAAAGCTTGTTCCAGGAAATGGGCTGCCTGCCCTTCTGCGACAGTTTGTCAATGTTTTCCACAAGAAGACAACTGAATATGTCTCAAAAAATAGCGTTGCTTTCTAAAGATATTTATTTCTCTGCTTTTCTTCCTGACCCTCCACAAGCCACGCCCCCTCCCCCCATCTATTGGTTAAAGATGGTTTAACAGCCAAGTAGCTGGACCCACATAGTCTCCAAATGAAGCTGGGGTTTTCTTTCTTCCTTCTAGGATTGTGATTAGGTTTCTAAAGGGAAGTGCCTATGTTTGTGTATATTGATACATTATCACAGCCAGAAAAAGGCTGCATTAGGAAGGTCAGAAGAGGCTTTGGCATTTGTGTTTGTGGCACTGGCAAAATCCCATTAGTGGTGATTCTGTCTCCAAATAGAAAATGCTAGATTATTGCATTGTTCGAGGAAGATTGCTAGCGCATCTGCTGGACTTCTCCCTCACACAATAAGCCAGCAGGACGCCAAGGAATGTCTACTCCTTAGTGTGTCTGGTGAACACTAATCCCACATCTAAGTTGATGGCATTATGTTTCCTCCCGGTGTTGACCGGAGTCCCGCAGCGGAGCTTTCTGTGGCTGCTGACAATGTCAGGGAGGTTCAGAAGCACACTTCTCCAAGGCAGGGTCTGCATCCCCTTCCTTAGGGCTGTTCCTGTGGGGTGCAGCCCTGAGGCAGAGAGCGGTGGCAATGGGATTAATGGGGAAGGCCGCTGAAACTGGAGGGGGAGGGAAAGGGGCAGGGGTCAGAGTCCATTGTAGCCAGTAACACACCACACACACACACACACACACACACACACCACACACACGCGCACGCGCGAGAGACCGGCAAACCCACTCAGAAATTGCCTGTCTGTGAATTCTCTTTCCTTCTCGCTAGAAATCCCTTTGACTTGCCTCTTGCATTTTGCAGGTGCTCACTTCTGAAGCCTCTTGTCCCACATAGCGGTCCCAGAATAACGGAGAGTGGCGGTGCTGGAGTTATGGATTTGGGGACATTATTCTACATATTCCCTCTTGTCCCCGTCAGAGAGCTGCCCAGTCCGCTCAGGGATCACACCCTTGCCCCCAACCACCCTCCCAAGCAACACCGGTATGTGAGTGTAAAGTGAGTTTCTGATTGTAACCTCAAAACCCCGAAAGCTGGTCTCTAGCACCGAACTATTAGGAGGACGAGAGAATATAATATTTGTCTAGCTGAGGTGCCAGCAATTCTCCCTGGAATGTAGGCGGATGACTGTGAATTCCCCTAAACACCAGTTCTAGATCCATACTCCACTCACACAAAGCTCTAGTACTTTTGTTATATTTAACTGTAGATTAAAGGAACACGTGAGCCTTTGACCATAGGTGGTTATGACGTCTATTTGGGAGAGATGGCTTAGGTAGGGTATGGTTCAATCGTGAGGCCGGTCAGGCAACAGACTGTAAAACTGGCTGTAGTCCCTGGGAGAGGTCAGTCTCAGTTCTGGCCACGCTGGCTACCCGGTTAGGACAATCAAGTTTCCTGAAAGGCCTGAGATAGAGCCTGGACATTAAACATAGGCTGCGGACATGATCATGCCGGCCCATCCTTGCCGATGTACATGGTAAAGTACACTATGGACACGGTCACTCTGTTGGCTGTCTTTGCAGCTACACATGGTAAAGTCATGTATATACACACTTTGCTCTTGGCTTCATCCATAGCCAAACACAGAACGTCAGGTTTCACGACGTAGGTTTCACACTCGTTCTAAAGTTCTTTTTCTTTCTTTATGTCATATTTATAAATGTGTTGACTGTTTGAATATTTTGGGGGGGAGGAGATAGGGTTAGTTATTTTGCTAGTGGAGGGTTTAAAGAATTGAGTTATGTGGTATTGCCCTTCGTCTCTTACCAGCAGCTCAGGAGCAACTCTGTTAGTTTAGCCAACCTCAGTTCTTAAGTGTGGTATGTCAAGTACCGCCCTGACCTCCTCTTGACCACTATTTTCTGGGGGTGGTTATATGTGGCCTTTGTTCACCTGGCTGCCAAGATCAATTATGTTGTCCACTTTATTCAGCTCAGGAGTGGACAGCTCTAGCCTTTTGTCCACATACAGTCCAGGACCACCAGCTTTGTGGTCCTTCGCTTGGAGGCCACCTCAGGCCACCTGCTTGCAGAACACATCTCTCAAGTCACGTGGGACATGGGATAGAAACACTAGGAACAATGTGTTCACTCCATAAGTGCTTAGTGATCACCTTACCATCACTGCGGCTCTCTAGGCGATACAGGGCAGATAAGACGTGGCCCCTCTGTCACACAGCAGTGACTGCTGTGTAAGTGACGAAACAGCATGGCACAGTTGGAAGGATGGCAGTGCTGTGTGCACTGTCCCCACCCTGGCCTGCTGTCTCTCTTCAGCCGAGGGAGCTTAGAAACCAACCTTTCCCGACCTCAGTCTGATTTCCTGCCAAGTGATAATGGTCGTGGTTCTCACTGTAGTGCTTGTGATGGGAGCTTGTGAGTGCGGAGATATAGGAGCAGCGTCTGCAGGGAAGACCCTTAAGGGAGGCCCTCGGGGTGGTGGTGAGAGGTGCTCCTGGGTGAGAGGCAGAGGAAGGTGTGCCAGCTGCGTTAGGAGGTGGGGCTGGCCTTGCAGAACTGGCCCGGGCAGAGGAGCGGGAGCAGCCTCGGGGTACACCAGCACGCAGGTGCAGGAGGGTGGGGAGAAAGATGCTTTGCAGTCTCCCGAGCAAGGTGCCCTGGGTCTCAGGAGCTCGCCTCAGAGCTCCAGAGTGGGAACAACCGAGTCTGTTTCTGTTTCTAGAACATTCTGTCTGCCAACATGAGAGAAAATTGTCTGGGCTGGGGGAAAAAGCAAGTTTTCAGGAGGGGGCTTTTGTCAAGTAGACATAGTGAGTGCCTGAAGTGTAGGGAGAGTGGTAACAAAAATCCCTTCTCCAGTTAACTCCAGGTTGAGGAAGATGATTGCTAAGGACATGGAAGTCTAAATAGACTTGAATGAGTTATGCAGCATGGCAATGAGTTCTGAGTTAAGCATAATAATAATAATAATAATAATAATAATAATAATAACTTTGAACTTTCTTAACACCCAAGCTAAACCAACTGAAAACCCCAAATCCGTCAAGTCCCAAGAAGACCGTCAGCTTACTGATGGTGTCCGTGTTAGGACAAACGAGGCCGGTCCTTGACCTTTCTCTCGTCAGTCTCCAAAAACTAGTCCTTGAAAAGAAAAGCTTGGGAGATAGCTCAGTCTGAACAGTCTGTAAAGTGCTGGCTGTGTACCAATGAAGACTGAGTTCAGTCCCCCAGAACCCACGTTAAAAAGCCTGTGTGGCAGGAGCCTGCACCTGGAATTCTAACACTGCTGAGGGTCAAAAACAAGGGACCCTGGGGCTCAAGGACCAGCCAGTCTAGCAGCATATTGACTCAGATTCAGTGAGGGACAGAGGAGGGAGAGAGAAAGACATCTTGTTGACCTTGGCCTCTTGCACATGAGCGCGCGTGCACACACACACACACACACACACACACACACACACACACACAACATTAAATGTCTAGGGTTTTCAGAATGACAGAAATAGCTAAATTTGAAATGAAACAACTGGTAGGTTAAAAAAAAACCTCACATAGCTTTAACCTTTACATAAGTAAGTTTACACATACAACTCAGGACATTCTGTTTGAAAACAGTGAATTCCCAAACAGAATAATCAGTTTAAAATTAATGTGGTTTATTAACAATTAAAAGTGATAACTAGAGCTGAAGGAGACTGGAGGTGAAACGCTGGGTTTCCTTTGATAGGTAGAGTAATTACGCAGTGTGCTTTTGAAGTTCAAGAAGACAGCCTTAGGACACAACATTTTTAAAGTAAAAATTGGCTTGCACTCGGCTCAAGTGATTTATTTTGCACTGAGAAATGGGTGTGAGACATGATGTGACTTAAAATGTCATCCCTTGCTGGAGCAACTGGAGGGCTACACGATTTTTTTCCCCCTTTCCTCAGCCTGCTGAAGCCTATGAAGTTTCCTATCTAAAAGTTAATCTTCTGAAATTCCCAAGGAATCGAAGGGAAGCTGATCTTTGGGTGTGTGGATGAAAGACAAAGTTTACTCAAGTACATGGCTCTCCCCCTGATGCTCAGAGGGAAGGAATGGCCGAGCAGCCGCTGGGAGGATCTGGGGCTCTCCCTGCCAGAGCTGAGCTTTGTTACCTATTAAGTAATTAGTTGTAGAAAACCCTCACCTTTCTCATTAAACAGGCTTGAAAGGCGCGGGGCACCGGAGTGGCTGGAGGCAGAACATACCTGCAAGAGGGAAGTTAAAAGGGATCAGGATTCAGTTACAATGGAGGACGAGATTATCAGGCATCACGAGGAAAGATGAATGGCGGCTTAAAAAGCAGTTGACAGTGAAGGGTCTTAGCTGTTTCAGTGGCTTCTCTTGCTCTGTCACCCAGA